TTTAGCTGTATTGTGGAATGTATGAAGGGGTGTAATATATAATAAGACTAGAAAGGTGGGTTGGAGCCAGGTGGTAAAGGACTTTACACGCCAGACAGAAGAGTTTATATCTGATCCTAGAGGGAATAATGAAGAGAGTGACATGGTCAGAAGTGTGCTTTAAGGAACATCACTTTGGCAACCATGTGGAGGATAGATTAGAGGGATTTGAGGGTGAAAGATCAAAGAAGGGTCAGGTGTGCTATTCAGGGTAGACAGGTTAATGCCAGCTGATCATGGAGAGAAGGCAGAACTACTCAATTCTTTATGTTGCTATCTAAAAGAATGATCATTAGCCTGGAAAAGATAAAATAAAAATAGTTAATGGGATATTGAAGAGGCATCTAGGTGAGGCAGTGGATAGAGCATGGGCCCTGGAGTCAGGATGACCTGAGTTCAAATCCAGCCTCAGACATTTGACACTTACCAGCTGTGTGACCCTGGGCAAGTCATTTAACCCCAACTATCTAAAAAAAATCTAGAACCTACTATTAAAGGCCTAATTTGGGAACATATAAAAAGGAGAAACGATCCCCCAAGAGCCAGGACAGCTTCAGCAGGAACAGTTCATGCCAGATAAACCTGATTTCCTTTTTTGTTATTTCCTTTGGGGGGCTACTGGCGAAGATGAAGCCTAAGGCCCCTTCCCACTCCAGATCTATGAATTACCCTCGAGAAGAAAAGATCTGGAGGAAAGGGGCGAGATGGCTATGACAATCACCTTCAAGCACCTGAGGGGTTCTTGTGGGAAAGAGGAAGGCTTGCTCTGCTGGACCTCAGAGGACAGAACTAGATGAAGCAAGAGGCGATTAGGTTGTAAAGAAGCAGATTGTAGCTCCAAAGTGAGGAAAAACCCTAACAATCTGAGCAATCCAAAAGTGGAACAGCTGGCCCTGAGGTCAGGAGGACTTTAAGCAGAAGCTGGAGAGACGGGCTGCAAAAGGACTCCTACTCAGACACGAGTTAGACTGAAGTCTCTTCTGACTCAGTTTCTGAGATTCTGTCAATTCCTTATGATTACGGACATTGTATATAATGATTTCGATATTCATAATACCTATTCATTTTCGCACGCTTTCACAACCCTCATCTCATTTCACAGACTCTCAAAGACTGTTAGGGCGATGCTAGGCTGGATAGAGCTAGGCCTGGGGTCAGGAAGACCCAAGACAAAATCCAACCTCAGAAGCTTATTAGTTGTATAACCCAGAGCAAGTCACGTAACTCCTCAATTGTAAAATGGAGATAATAACAGCACCTACCTCCAAGAGTTATTGGGAAGATGCAATGAGATAATATTTGTAAAGCACTTGGCACTATGCCTGATACACAGTAGGTGCTTAATAAACGTTTGTTCCTTCCTTCAGAGCTGGAAGGGATAGGCCTCAAAGACCACCCCTGGGTCTAGTCTAATTCATAGCTGAACAAGAATGTCAGTCTGGGGCAGCTAGGTGGTGCAGTGGATAGAGCTCCAGCCTTGGAGTCAGAAGGACCTGAGTTCAAATCTGGCCTCAGACACTTGATACTTACTAGCTGTGTGACCCTGGGCAAGTCACTTAACCCCAATCACCTCACCAAAAAGAAAAAGAAAAAAGGGATGACAGTTTGCAGAAGCCCTGGTAAGTGCTGATCCAGCCTCCATGAGGAGACCTCTAAGGCGGGGAATCCCCCTACTTCCTGTGACAGCCTTTTCCAGGCTGTCAGGAAATTTCTCCCTCTACTGAGCTGAAATCTGCCTTTATCCCACTTCCACCTATTACTCCTCTCGTTGCCTTCTGAAGCAAGCAGAATAACCTTTCTTCCACATGCCTGCTCTCCCATCCCCCCTAAGTCAACTCTTCCTTCAGCTAGGTACCCTCAATTCCTTCAGCTGATGCTGGGTGTGGTTTCAAGTCCCCTCACCAACCTAATCCCCCTTTTATGGAAAATTCCTCAGCTCGTCAATGTCCTTCCTAGAATATAATGGCCATAAGTGAACAAGATACCTCATTCTGGACACTATGTCTCTCTTAATGAAGGTGAAAATAACAACAGCAATAATGATAGTTAGCATTTATGTAATGCTTTAAGGTTGGCAAAGTATTCGACACATGTTATTTCAATTGATCCTTGCTACAACCCTGGGGGGATATAAGTTCTATTATTATCCTCATTCTACAGATGAAGAAACTGAGGCTGAGAGAGATTAATTGATAAAATGGCTGTGATAATCATTCCTAGAATACCTATCTCATAGTGTTGTTGTGAGACTCAAATGAGATCATGTATGTAAAGGGATTTGCAAACTTTAAAGCTATATACATATTAATAAGGTCTTTTATTCCCTAATCTAGTAACCTTGCCAAAAAAAAAAAAGGAAATTAGATTAATCTGGCATTTTAAAAGGTTTTAATGTTGCCTCATGTTTTTCATGCCAGTCAATGCTGCTTCCCCAACCCTGACCCCAAAACCTCCTGGTAACAAAAACAAAACCATAGCTACTATATATCACAGTATATGTGACATTTTACACCCACACTCTTCTGAGAAGAGGGAAAGTCTGTTTCATCATCTGTCCTCTGAGATCAACATTGGTTGGCATGACCTGTTCTTGCTGAAGCCATGAAGACACACTGGCCCTTTGTGATCACTGCTTTCTTTTGTAAATGCTTAGATACCATCCCTTTAATAATGTTCTAGCATTTTGCTAAGAATTGAAGTCAAGCTCATCAGTCTATAGTTTGCAGACTTTACCCTCTCTCTTCGGAAAATTAGAATGCCATCTGCCTTTCCCTAGTTCTATGGTACCTCTTTCACATTCCCCAGTATTTTTCAAAAGTCACCTACAGAAGTTTAGCTACCACACCTCCCCATCTATTTGCTCAATGAATTCTTGCCCATTCTTTAAAGGCTACCTCAAATGCCACTTGTTCCATAAAGACCTCGGAGCTCTGATTAGTGAGCTTTATCTTGCCCAGTCTAAAGCCTGCCATGCCATTTCCTAGGCATCACCAAGCCAAGCTACCTATATTCCAGCCTCCTTCTGTCCTCCCCACCCCTCACTGGAACTTAGACTCTTGCCCCTAAGACCTTAGGTTCTTTTTGTTTGTTTGTTTATTATTTATTTTTAACATTATTTTAAAAAAATTTTGAGTTGCAAATTCTCCCCTTCTCTCCAGTCCCTCTGCCAACCATTAAGAAGGCAAGCAATATGATATCAGTTAGACATGTGAACCCCTGCAAAACGTATGACCTCAGGTTCTAATTGGTGAGTTCAACATTATCTTACCATGTCCCAAGCCCACTATTCCACTTCCTGTCCATCTCTGAACTCTGGCTTCCTCTTCCTCCCACTGAAATTGGTAACCAGCCCCTCACTCTCCCAATATAGCTCCCCTATTCGTGTTGTCTTCCGCTATTATAATGTAAAGTCCTCGAGGGCAGGGACAAAGTTTGCTTGTTTTTGTATCTCCATCACTTAGCACAATACTTAGCACATAGTAAGCGCTCAATAAATTTTTTTCATTCATTCTTTCTTCATCCATTCATTCATAAAACCTTCCATGATCCCAGGGGTCTGTAATAACCTTCATTCTCAGAACTCACACAGCACTGGTTTGTTTGCTTTTCTTCCTTTGGCACATCTCTGATGCAATTATCATATATTATTTTGTACAGTTATCTATGTTTATGTCATCTTACACTGTAAGGCCCAGGAGGGCAGGGACTTTAATGTGTCCTCACTAAACTTCTATTTCCAATAGCGCCAAGCACTTAATAATAAAATAGTAATAATAAAAATGTTAGGGCGACTAAAAGAACCAAGTTACATCAGCTGCCCGTACATTTAATTCTTTTCTTAAATTGTGAACAGACAATCTTAAGTCATTGAACCATTTTATTGCTTATTCAATTATGGCATGAAATTGTTGACTCTCACAAATACCCTGTGAGGTAGGTTAGGTAGGCAGATGTGATCTCCATTTCAACACATGAGGAAACTGAGGCTCCCAGAAATGACTGGCTGGAGGTCACACAGATAGTAAGTGGGATTGTAAACCAGCACTCAGGTCTTCTCATTCCTGGTCTAGTTTTTTCTCCATTACCCCACAGCTGTCTAGGGAAATGCCTTGAGTCCTCCATTTGTACTTAGCCTTATTCTGCTTCAATCCTAAATTCAAATTTTTGGCTCCATCAAAGCAAACCTCCTCTCATTCATCTCAGTTTTGGAGCCCTGACTAGGCAGTTTCCCTTGCCTGGGACAAGCTCCCCCATTTACTAGTTAAGGCCTTCCCAATATCTAGGATACTTTCCTTCACTAACCACTAGGCTCTAGCAACAGCACTTACTGGAGTTCACAGGCTAAATATATGCTTCCATGTAAGCGATCCCTTATAAAGCAAACTCAGCCTAGAAAAATTTGCCATTCTGCAATTCCTCATAGTAGGGGGCACATGTGTTAGACATTACTCAATCTCTTGCAGTGACTAATTTTTGATGTCCCATTATCATTTTGCCTCTGGGTTATGTGTTGACTCAGTCCCTATAAACTCTCTGAGAGCAGCTCCTTCCCCTGGTTCCATAGCACATGGATCTCCCCTTCCCTCAATTCCATCACACAGTTCTTTTCCCAAGACACGTCCTCCTCCTTTCCCATTACATAACTTCCTCTCCCATAACAGTGTCTTTCTTTACTCCCCAAATGCAATTTCCTCCACCCACCAAAAAACCACTCACAATAAAACAGACTCCCTCCTCTAGCTGGTACCCATAACCAAGACGCTCATTTCCCTACATACGCGTACACAGTTACAAATAACACACAAGCACACACCCCAACACCTATACATGGCCACATATATATATATATACTCTCAAACACACAAACACACACATGAATGCCCACACATGTGTACACACACACACACACAAACACATGCACACACTCTTCCCAGGACCCCCAGGACCTTCTCTCTCTCTACCTGTCTATAATGACGGGGTCAGATGGAGTCTCATTCCGGTTGCCACAACTCTTCTTGTCACAGCAGCGGCTGTAAGGAGAGAAGGACAGAGTTGTAGAGTCAGGAGTGCCGGGGGTGACCTTTGCAAGGCATCACAGTGTAAAAGAAAAGGCACTTAACGTGAAATCAAGAGGATGTGGGTTCAAATCCCACATGAGTCATGGACAAACTGTGTGACCCTAAACAAGTCACTTAACCTCTCTGTGCCTCAGTTTCCTCATCTGTAAAATGAAAGGATGGGAAGTCAAATGCCTCTAAATTCCTTTAATCTCTAAATCTATGACCCTATGGCCTCTAGTTTTAATCTCCACCCACCTCTGCCACTTACTTACCTGTGTTATCTTGGATAAGTCACTTAAATCTCATTTTTACCATTTGTGAAGTGATGAAGTTTGTATTTTAGAGACCCTTCCAACTCTAAATTCACAATCCTAAAGCCAGAACTTCCCTATAATACCCTCTGCAATGGTCATTCAACTTCCATTTAAAGACCTCCAATGAGCTAGTTACTTATCAAGGGAACCCATTCCAGGATTGTTGTTCAGTCATTTCAGTCGTACCTGACTCTTCCTGACCCCATTTGGGGTTTTCTTGGCAGAGATACTAGAGTGGTTTGCCATTTTCTTCTCCAGCTCATTTTATAGATGAGGAAACTGAGGCCAACATAGTGAAGTGACTTGCCCAGGGTCACACAGCTAGCAAGTGTCTGAGGCCAGATTTGAACTCAGAAGATAAGTCTTCCTGACTTCAGGCCTGGAGCTCTATCCACTACACCACCTAGCTGTCCCTCCATTCCACTGTTATGTAAGTCTGATTAGGACTTAATTAAGACTTACTGTTAGGAAGTTAATAATATAATAATAGTTAACATTTATATAGCACTTTAAGATTTGCAAAGTGCTTTACAAATATTATCTCATTTGATCCTCACAACAACCCCAAGAATAGCTGTTATTATTATCCCCATTCTGAGGTAACTGAGAAAACTGAGGCAGACAGAGGTTAAGTGACTTGCCCAGGGTTACACAGCTAGTAAGTGCTTGCGACAAGATTGCATTCATGCCTTCCTAACTCCATGACTAGTGCTCTCTCCACTGGGTCACCAGTTGTCTCTTGAAGTTATTCCCCTCCTGAGAAACAAGGAGGGTAAAAATGGAGTGGGAGAAGGATAAAGAGTACACAGAAGTCAGGAAAGACAGTGGGATGTGGGAGAGAAGGAAAATGAGGCAAGGAAAATGGCAACAATGGATATGAGGAGCATAGGGGAAGAAAGAGGAAGAAAACTATCACTATGGAAATTGTTTTTACCCAGGAAAAGTACCACAAATTGTGCTTGAGGGAAGCAGTATGAAACAGGCCTTCAGGGAGGCCAAGGAGGTGGGGAGAGAAGTGAAGGAGGCCACTTTGTGTGTGGGGACACACTGACCCCATGACATCAAAAGGAGGCCGCTACCAGACAAAGTGAAGGAGGCACTCACCCCAGTCCGCCAATTGGTAGCTTCTGATTTTAACTAATTATTACTGCTAAATATGTGCTAAGATCTGTTGTTGTTCCTACACTCCTAAGGGACTGCAAATGCCATTGGGGACCTCTAACTTTATTGCCCTCTAAACTTGTAGCCTTGGACAAAGCCCTGATCACCCCACCCTACTCCCATCTCTAAAAGAAAGTGAGAAGGGTAAAAGAATTGAGGGAAGGAAAGAGGGGGAATGGATTTCCCTCAGGGTAGGATGCCTGTCCTTCATTCTTGCTCAAAGCTGGAGGAATGGGTAGGCACACAGAAACAGTTGATCCCCACAGATGCTCAGAAAAGCTACAACTAGGATGGGAGGAAGAGAGAAGAAATGGGGAACAAAAAGGCCAGGAGTCACCACTGGTCTCTCCATATTTATGAAAGAGTGTTCTCCATCTAAATTCCTGCCCACTTATGGGTTGAATATCCTTTCCAACTTTGGGATTTTAAAATTATATGAAACTATAACTGGGGCTTTGTTTTTCTTGCTTTCTTAGTGGGGGGTGGGAAGAAGCAAATGTTGAAAATAAAACTGAATTTTAAAAGAATTCTAGGAAACTGTGGGTAAAATAAATACGTGTATAGTTTCCCACTGACTCCAATTTAAAGATCAAAAAGTACATTCTGGAGCTCTGTCAAAAGCTATATTGTCTATCAGGCTAGGAACACACATAGACAGGGCTCCCCCCCAGCCAGCAGACAGGCTCATAGGAAAAGGTGGGTCCTTGGTGCTCTGGAAAGAAACCACCTAACATTGATTCTCAAGAGACCCAAGAGAGGCGAGGGCCCTCTCACCTCCCACTGCCACCATGCCCAGCTCTTTCTTTCCTGGAGGTGGGAGAAGGATCTCTATGTTTCTACCACTGCCCAGACATACACTTCCTTTTTACTTGGCATGCACAGAGCTGGTTGTGGGGAAGAGTCAAATGTTTATCTCTCTCTGCCCTTTCTCTCCCCAGCACTGAGAGAGGAGGGGAGAGAAAACATTGCAAGGACAGGGAGACCACTCTGTATCCATCCATGCCTGGAAGGATACTGTCCAATGCCATCCATGGGTTGTCTCAATTTGCACAATAAATGTATTTTTGAAATGTTTATTCACTCATTTGGTGTAAATCAAATGTTTCTAAATGCAATTCTCTTTCCCATGTCCTGGGGGAGCATGCCTTTTATTTTTTTAAGGGATATTATTGTGAATTCTTATTTAACATGAAGAATACCCCATAATTGAACTTGTATGTAAAAACAGATTTCAATATGTTGGGTTTGCTTTAAGCAAAGACCTCTGGGAATAGACCTATTCTATGCGGCTGAAACTAGAGCACAGAACTTGGAACAATGCGGGTGGGGAAGTTCCAGGAAAACAGATTTTTGGCTCAGGATAACAAAGAAACCTCTAACAATTGGAGCTGTCCAACAATTGGGCCAGCTGCCTTATGAAGTAATGAGCTTTCTGCCAATGGAAGTGTTTACACTAAATGCTGGAAGACCACCTGTCAGAGATGTTGCTGAGGTGATGCCTACCCTGGAAGAAGGTGCAGCTATCTGACCTCTGAGGTCCCTTCCAGCTCTAAAAGCTTGAATTCTCACTATACAGCTACGGGCAGAGCTGGGTCTTTGAGAAGCAGGGATAGGAAAAAAAGAAGCCCTACCCTCCACCCCTACCCCTACCTAGGTTTAAGCTAGAAAGGGCTATCGCTCTGTCCACGACACAGCACACCTGCCCACCTACCTCTCCATTCCCCTCCCAGTCCTTAGGCGCCACTCCCCACAGCCTTGTTCCTTGCCTCCCCTTTCCCCCCACCCCCCCCATCTCTGGAGTCCCCTTCCCTTGGGCCCCAGCTCATTAGTAAAAGTTCCTGCAGCTCAATTAGCGGTGACAGGATGACTCTCCTGTGCGCAAACACGGCTCGAGCGGCACAAACAGCCCTGGCTAATGGGGCCTCAGGGACCCGCCAGCTCAGCTAGTGCCCCGGAGGCCCTCCCCTCCTCCCCATTCTTCCTCCTCCCCCTTCCCCCTTAGCCCTGCCATAGGGCCAGGGACAGCTTAAGGAACTGGCCCAGAGGTAGAGGAGAAGGGTTTGAGGCCTGAAGAGCCAGTCTGGACACTACCCCTACCCACCCCATCATCTCGTTCCAGCCTTGCAGGGTCCCAGCCTACACTGCCCCATGGTCCAGTAGCATGTACATCTGAGGGAAAGTCACCCCAGTTCAGGTGACGTCTTCCCTGACCCCTCCCCACCCAGCTGTCTTGACCCCTCAGTACACTCACCTGCACATGATCTCGTGGGTGAGAAGGACACGGCACATCTCCGGGTTCTTGTCCTGCCCCTCGTAGATGATGGCCTGAAGGGACAGGGGCAACAGACCAGTTGGACAGAAAGGGAGGGAGAAGAGGGAAAAGGAAGAGCAAGCCACAAAGGACCCACACTTCCGCCTCTAACCAGGTAGTGGAAAGAGCCCTGGATTTGGAATCAGGAGACCTGAGTTCAAATCCCAGTTCTGACTAGCTGGGTAACCATTGGGCAAGGCACTGAAACTCTCTAAACCTCAGTTTCCCAATATGTAAAATAAAGATGTCACTAGCAGTACTACTGTGAAGGATTGTTGTGAGGAAGGGGCTTTGTCTACTTTAAAGCACAATAGAAAAGTGAGTTATTGGCATGGAATCTTGCCTAAAGAGCCTGCTTTGGAGTCAGGAAGAACTGAGTACAATTCTCACCTCTGACACATACTGGCTGTGTGACCCTAAACTCAGAATTGCCCCAAGCAAATTCTGAAACCATAAATTACAGAACAGTAACAGATCTGAACTGGTAAATGGTGTCAGGAGCTCCCTATACCAATAAAATTACAGGTCCAAACTATCTAACTGCATATGTGTGTGTGTGTGTGTATGCACACATACATATATATATATATATATGTATATATAATTATTATTATTTATTATTAGAATTCACTTCTTCTAATCCTTTGACCTGTGGTAACTGTCCCAGGAGGGAGGATATCTGGGAAGGTGCCTTGATGGTAGCTGCTTCGAGCTATGGGACAAAACCAGGGCTCTGGAGAGAGGCAGGAGGTAGCAAACCTCCAGAGCTACCTAAAGCTAGTAAAGAACCAGGGTGGAAGGGGGAATTCTTTGGGGGCATAAGTGGGAAAAAGAAGCTACTGTGGGTCACCCCCTTCTCTGCTTCCTTTTTGTTGGGAAGTTTCCTCTTTGATTGTCCACAGGCTCCTTTTGAAAAGCTGTAGCAAGGACTGAAAAGTCAAGGTACATCCAAAGTCCCCCTGGCTTTCATCACAGGGATGGGTATACCTTGGGGTTTATGACCTCAGTGTTTTTTTTTAATGTTCTGATAACTGTATTTCAATATAATTGGTTTCCTTTGTAATCCTATGCATTTTATTTTATACTGAAAAAATATGGTGCTGAGGAGTCCTTTGGCTTCACCACATCGTCAAAGGGGTCCATGACACACAAAAAGATGAAAAATGCCTGGGATATGATCCAGACTTGTGATTTTTTTTTTTGGCATAAGGAACTCTTGGGTGAGGAAACACCTACCAATGAAAATCAGTACCTTCTCTGAAACTTACAGCTTTAGAGAGCTGCCCAGAAAGGAGCGAGGTTAAGCAACTTGCCAGGGGTCACACAGACAGTATGTGTTGGAGGCTAGGGCTAAAACCCAGGGCCTTCTGGTTTTGAGGCCAGCCCTCCACCTAATACACCACACAGCCTATCATGGGTTTCCTTATAAGGCCAAAAAGTAGGGTCACCCCATGAAATGAAGTGAGGGGAGACAGGACTATAAACCCCCAACCCAGATATGAATCCTGTTCTCATCTTTGACCAGTCATCCCTCCACTCCCTTGCCTTTTCCCTCTGCCAGCTCAGCCATTCTCCCTGCTACCTAGATGGTCCCTTAAGTGGCCCCATTGACAGCAGGAAGGTCAGCTGAACACTGGCTTAATTTGGGCACGTCTGTTGTGTGCTTACTATTAACACTGCTAAAATCCAAGTCATCATCTTCATCCCAAGTTAGTCCCATCTCTAACTTCCCTCTTTCAGAGGATGCTGCTGTCATTCTCTCACACACTCTGACTCAGTTGCCCCCAGGCATCTTTGGTTGCCATCATTGAAAGCCAATCAATGGCTGAGTCTCACACCTCTCCCTTTTCATTTCCACTGATGCCACCCCGGGTTGACAAGCCCCATGACTCCTTCTCTGCCTCAGCTATTATCTCCCTGCCTCTAGTTTTTCTCTTTCCTGACTCAACTTTCTTAAGCAGAACTCTGATCACATGTCTTCAGTGACTCCTCATGGTTTCACCATGGAAATCCCCATCTAGGAGGCTGGGAAGCTTTCCATGGTCAACTACAAGTTGTGGCTTCCTGGATTTCCCAGTAGAAATTGGGGGTGCAACTGGCTCACCCTTCTTCCACTCCTAACCACCCCACCCACTCAGGGTCTTTGCCACTTGCACCCATTACTCCATACCGGGTATCAAGAGGTTTCTGGGAAAGGAAAGCTCCTCTTCACAAAAAAAGTACTAGCCCATTGGCTTATAGGATCAAGGCCAAATTCTGGATCCTGGTATTCAAGGCCCTCCACAATGGGACACTATTCAACTTTTCATTCTTGTCTCCCACTACTCCCTTACAAAGACCCCTAAATTCAAATCAAAGTGGCCTGCTCCTTTTCCCCCCAAAACACCACTCTACATAGCTAAATCCTGCCTTCATTTAAAGTCCAAATTTAGCACAACCCCATCCAACCCCATCTCTAAACCTTCTCCAACTGTTCCAGACTACCAGAGATCCCTTAAGCTCTCCGTGGGGCACTTTGCCTATCCTGCCTTATTTTATTATCTTTTATGTATCTGTCTCCTCAGCTGGGCTATAAGATTCTAAAGCAGTGTCTTCTTCATCTCTGAATTCCCCCTCCCCCTCACAGCACCTAGCCCAGTGCTCTACTCAAAGTAGGCAATCATGGATTGTCAGCTGATGAAAGGATCTCATATCCCCTCCTCACTTATATCTCCTCTCATCCTCTCGTCCTCTCTGGTACTAGGAAACAACCTTGAAGGAAGGGGAAAAGGGAAGAAGGGGGAAAGGCCTTAAAAATTTCCACCAGGTCTCTCATTATCACCATTCCTATCCCATACCCAACCAACCTGGGCTTAGCACATAGCCAAATATTAATCCAGACAGTCTCTTTTGCAATGGAAGTAAATGAATGAGGCAATGTGCAGGCCCAGAAGGAGAATTCTCCCAGCAATTCCCAGCCCAAGGTCACCCAGCTGGTCAGTGGCAGAGCTCAGACCAGAACCCTAGTCTCCTGAGCACAATATAACACAGAGAGCACTTAGACAACAATACACACACTGACTACAACTGGGCAAATAATCATATCAACATTAATGAAACCCAGAAAAACACACGGAAGGACAGAAGATCAGAAGGGAACACGGACACAAACAGGACTATTTAGTTACTAGCTTGTTAAAATTGATATTCACATTTTAAAAAAAAACTGTAAATATAATTTTTTACAATCTCATTACAATCATTTTTATTCTCATCTGCGTATTTGGACTTTTGCATTTGTTGGTTTCTACTACTTTTTTTTGTTGTTGTTTTTGTTTTGCTTTTTGGTGAGGCAATCGGGGTTAAGTGACTTGCCCAGGGTCACACAGCTAGTAAGTGTTAAGCGTCTGAGGCCGGATTTGAACTCAGGTCCTCCTGACTCCAAGGCTGGAGCTCCATCCACTGCGCCACCTAGCTGCCCCTCTCTAGTACTACTCTTGTATTCAGAGGCCTGAGTTCAAATACCAGCTACCCTGAGCAGGTCACAATTTCTATGGGCCTTGGTTTCTTCCTCTGTAAAATGAGAGGGATTGCACAAATTGATCTCTAAGGCTACTTCTAGCTCTAAATCTTGTGCCCCTATGATTTTGAGCCCACTGTCTTCCTACTTCTACTAACCAAACTTCCCCCTACCCTACCCAACTCCTCTAAACAATCATTAACGCTTATTATCAGTACTACAATGTTTAGGGCTTAATTGTGTGAAGCCTTAAATTGTTCTCTAATTATTTCTATACACATCTGGTCTTCCCAAGTAGATTATATCCTGCTGGAGGGCAGAGATTCAGCTTCATCTGGGTTGTAGCTTCTCAGCACCTTGAACAGTACCGGGGGTCATAGTAAACACTCAATAAAGTGGAGGTTCTGGGGTGAGAGATGAAGGGCTGGGCACACTGCAGGGGGGCAAAAGTAGGGATAAATGGAACCAGTCTTCCGAGAGCTGAGCTGGGGTCAGAATGACGTTGGGAGGCTTGTGACCACACAAGCCAGCTCTAAAGAGGCCCCCAAACAAAAGAAGGAGACTTGGAGAACAGAAGGGGCTTCTCCTCCCTCCAGCTCACCTGCTTAGACATGGAATCGATGAGTCGAACATACAGGTCTTGTTCAGTGCGGATTCCTGGGAACAAAAAGGAGGGGGGAGAATCAGGTCTGACTGGGATAGCCAAGGAAAGGGGGTTCTTTGAAGTCTTAGGGTTCTTTACCTCTCTCCTAAGACCTGGGACTAAAGAAGTCCCGAGGCTATATATGCACATGACATTCATAGCCAGCCTGAAACCTTCCCCCTTGGGAAGGGTGAGCAACAAGTGGGTAAGACAAGACAGGCTAGGACAGGGCAGGATGGGCTAGGGCAGGCCAATCTATGATGAGATGGGAAAGCAGGGAAGGTTGATCTGGAGCAGGGCAGACTGCTACTGAGGAGGGCATAAAGGATGGAAGCAGGGCAGCCTGAACTGGGCAAGGCAGTGAAGATCGGGCTAGGATGGGAAGCCAGGACAACTCACCATTGCTGTAGAGCAGTTGCAGCCGGTAATGGATGCCATTGTTGGTTTTCTCTCCACTGTGTTCCTAGAGAGACAGGAGAAAGTGCTGAGGATGGGGGCCGGGGAGAATTCCCCCAACATTCAGCCAGCTCAGCTGTAACCTGGGGTGAGGGGAAGAAACTTGCTCCCACAGACCGAAGAACAATCACCCTTTCCCTCCTGGCTGCCACCTCCGGCTATGCACCATACTCTCCCCTCCCCAGGCTGGCTCTAAAAGTTTTCCAAAGAATGAAGTTCACGCACAGAGCCAAGCTAACTGCCAGCTCCCCTTACCCGCTCTTTTTCCACAAAGTCGATGAAGGCTGTGCGCTCGATCTCCACCGGCTGTCCCTGCCGGTCATACATGGCCAACACAAAGTGGAAGAAGTTGGATTTGCGAAGATTGGAAGGCGGCTGCTTCTCAAAGTGAGCTCGAGCCAGGCCCACACCACTGTGGGGACAGGGGGAAGGGGAGGAGATATTAGCCTGGGCTCCCAGTACTTTCTTTGGGGAGAGAGACAGGGTAGGCAGGCCACGCCCCAGCAGTCCATGCTCTAAGCTAGGTCTGAAGACTTCAAGAAAAACTGAATCTAAACGAACAGAGGGTTGTTTTGTTTTTTCCCTGACCAGTGATTTCACAGAAAGTCCCCCTACCAATACAGATTGGCACCTAATTTGCAATGTACAGTCTTAGTTGCTTAGGACACTGAGAGGTTAAGACTGGCCCAGGGTCACACAGCCAGTATGTGTCAGAATCCTGACTTGAACCCAAGTGTTCCTGACTCCCACGGCTCTCACTGGCCACCTTGCTACACGGCCTTGGGGAAGGATGTGGGGAGTCAGAAATCGGGAAGGGCAGTCATTCCGGGTCAGCTCCACTACCTCCCCTCTCTTCTTCCTCCTCCCCTCCCCCTACCCAGTCATTCATTAATTTATTCATTCAACAGACATTTTATTAGATGCTGGATAAGTGAAAGGCTCTCTGTTCTAAGAGGTGAGGGTCATTTAGGGGAGTCTGTGATCCCAGGGCACAGCCAAGCCCTTTGGCCCACAAAGCTCCCCTCAGTGATACATGACGGTTCAGCCCTCCAAGGCGCTAGGCTTCAGCCCAACTTCTCTAAACGTCTGTGTGATCATTCATTCACATTACTAAGCAGTTCCCATCCCCTAGGCTTTCCCCTAACAGCTCCCTGGGCAGCTGGATTTACCACAAACTGCTTTATAGATAACTTTTCAGGAACACAGCTTTTGCCCAAAGGAGGCAGTAGGACCTATGTGACTAGAGTACATGTATGTTTTCCGGGCCAGTTCAGAGAGGATAGATACAGGCAAAAGGCTTTGAGAGTCTGCCAGGGTCAGGATCAAGGGAAGCGGGGAGATGAATGGATAAGCCTGAGAACAGACTGATGCTACTGCTTCCCTGGAGATAGAGTGGCCTTCAGGGATCCTTGGACGAGGCAAGCCAAGGTTTCATCAGAGGTCACCATGCCCTGTTTAGTGATCAGATTCCAGAGGGTCGGCAAGAGACGTTGAGGCATCGGGCAGGGAGTCATTGTAGAGCGCACTGTGAAGGCAGCTGAGTAGGGCCAAGAGAGGAGCACAAGATAGCCCCTACTTCCCCGGGTAGGCCACAGATGGAGGGACAGAGAGGGGTGCAGGCCCCTCCCACTCTCTAGAAGCCTGCTAGCCAGACTTTGAGCCCAACTTTGCCAGAAGGAACAAGGGGAGGCTGGGCTGAAGGGGAACCCCAGCATAGGTTAAGTGCAGGGAATGAATGTTTCCTAGCACTTGGCCCACTGGAGAAAGCCGGAGGATTGGGGCGGGAGAGGGGGGATGGGGCTCTCTGAAGCCATCAGACTGTGACCACAGGGATGAGAAAGGAAAGAGATAAATGAAAGGATCAATTCTGAGTATACCGTCCCAACTCTCACAGCCTCTCCCTCCCCAACTCCCCCATAACTGGGACCTGAGACAGCTAGGTTTAAACTCTGTCTCAGACACTTCCCATGTGATTCCAAGCACTTACCCCTTTCTCAGTCTCAGTTTCCTCATCTGTAAAATGAGGATAATAGTAGTACCTTCTTCACAAGGTTGGTAGATTAAATGAGAATGTACGTTAAACACTTAGCATTATATAAATGCTATCATGAGAAATCCTCACCCCAGTGAGAAAGGTGCTCCCCCAATTAGGACCCTCCCTACTTCCCCCCGATTCCTTGGCCCTTTGCAGAGGAAGGAATTCAATGCAGGTATTACTGCATGAGGTGGGAGAAAAAAAAAATTTTAAGGCCCCTGAAGTAGGTAGCTAGGAAGAATGCCCACTCTTGAGCTAAGGGGAATATCCCAGCTCTGGCAAAGATGCCCTGAGGTTTCCTTCTGTTCTCATTAAAAACAGTCCCTGAATAGTGGGAAAAGCCAGACAGCAGCCAGAGGCCCCACCTCTGTATGTCTGGTGGAAACATTACAGGGGAGGAGAGAGTGCTAAGTAGAAACTCAGCGCCATTACTGCTCATTCTTCAGTGCCTCCTAGCTCCATCTAGGCGCTCCTGCTACCCTTGTGGAAAAGATACAGATGGGATTTAGAAGTGACTGAATGACCCAGACCCAAGAGTAGCCATGAAAGAGGCTTCGTCAACTTGGAGGGCCATCTCCAGTGAGATTTCTCTTTGGCCCTATGTTGTTGAATGGGTTTTTTTAAGGTTTTTATTTATTTTGGGGAGAGGGAGGCAATTGGGGTTAAGGGACTTGCCAGTGTCACCCAGCTAGTAAGTATCTAAGGTTTGATTTGAACTCAGGTCCTCCTAACTCCAGGGCCAGTTCTCCATCCACTGCGCCACCTAGCTGCACTCAAATGTTGTGGTTTTTTAAATCGATAACTCAGAAGAAGACCTAGATAGCATCGGTAGGGATAAATGTTAAGTCTTACACCTTGAGGCTCAAAAAGAGAGGGTGTGGTAGGCTATAGTTCATATGAACTGGGGTTTTATGACAGTGCAAAGTCAATAGGAACCAGCATCGTAATTTTTTTTCATTTTTCTATTATCATGTACCCCTATGGATCATCCTCACCTCTTGTCCATGTTCTCCAATGATGTTTTCATTTTTGTTTTTTTATACCAACACCTAGCATGATGTCTTTTAAAAGACAGAAGGAAGGGGCAGCTAGGTGGCGCAGTGGATAGAGCACCGGCCCTGAAGTCAGGAGGACCTGAGTTCAAATCCGACCTCAGACCAAACACTTGACACTTAATAGTTGTGTGATCCTGGGCAAGTCACTTAACCCCAATTGCCTCTAAAAAAAAAAAAAGAATGAAGGAACACTCTGTAGAGGATCTACCCACCAGGCTGGAAGCTTTCTAGGTCTTTTATGTGGAAAAAAGGAGTACAAAATAGCAGACGGAAGAGTTCATGGGGTACAGGCAGCTGGGTGGCCCAATAGATAGAACATTAGACCTGGAGCCAGGAAGACCTGATTTCAAATACTGCTTCACTTAGCAGCTATGTGAACCTGGGCAAATTACGTGGCCTCTACCTCCGTTTCCTCATTTGTAAAATGAGGGTAACAATAGCACTGGAAGGTATCTTCCAGGGTTGTGAGGATTAAATGAGATAATATTTGTAAGGTGTTTTGCAAAAAAATGCTAGCTAGTTTTTACTTTATTAGATTATGTTAATAATAATATTAAATTAGCAATAACAAATAAATAAATTACTATTATATGTCAACTATTTCTGTTCTTCAAGGTTTACAAAGCACTTCACATACATTGTCTCTGGATTTTCATTAGGTAGGCATTACAGATATTAGGATCCTCAATTCTAAAGATGAAGATAACAGGCTCAGACAAGGTAGTTACACAATGGGTCTCAAGTTCTTTCCACCAGATCTATAGTACACTAGAGTACTGAGTTTTGTACAACTGGTCTTTCTGATCCTAAGCCTCCAGTTCTTTCCACTGCACCTGACTCTCTTGAAGCAGCCTGGGTCCAGAACTTGGGCTGTGATGGATAAGATGAAGCGCATCCAAAGAGGGGAAACCAAGATGGCAGATGGCTTCAAGAACCCGTCAACAGAGCTATAAGGAGGATGAAGAGACTGGCCAGACCATTGTTTGAGGGGTTGAGGGGCCAATGAGGATGGAAACAGGTCTCCAGCTCCCTGCTTGGTGCACCCAGCTGAAGGATGTTTAGCCTAGAAATGAGAAGACTTAGCAGGCACACTGTTGCCTCGGAAGAAGATTTAGCAGGCATTGTGGTCTGCAAGTAGCTGAAGGGAGTGGGATTAAAGTTATTCTGTCTGGCCCCAGAAGGCAGAACTAGGAATTACCCTTTGGTAATAGTGGAAGAGGCAGTTTCGGGGAGGGGCTTGGTAATAAGAAAAGCTTCCTAAGCAATAAGAACTACCCCGAAGGAGGACAGAAAGCCTTGGAAGCAGGTAGGCTCCATCTCCATAGAGATCACTACTTGTTGAGGATTTTGCAAAGGTTTGGGTGAGATGACCTCTGAACCCACCCTTCCTCTCCTGTTCTCTCTGGTCATTACCCTAGCCCTCATACCCCAGCCCTTCCTACGGACTTTATGAAGCGTTGAGTCTCCATTTCTTCCCACTCTGCCCCAAAGGCCTGGGTTTATCTGTCGCCTGCCTTCCCTTCCACCTTCAGCCCTTTTCCTGCCTCCCTCTATAGCCAGGCTGGCCCCATTCTTGGGGCCTGGTGTAAGAAGGGATGGGTGAGGGAGATGCTGCCTAAAGTTATAATGGCTTCTTTATTAACTCTGAATATTATTTATAAATATGCTAATGAGGCCCAGGCTAAAAGCTTCCAGCTCCACACCCCACACATACATACCCCTTCTACCCCTGTCTCTAGCCTGAAGCCCAGTCCCAGGAAGGTCCCCAAAGGGAGCCTAAGGCTTCTAACCCTTAGAAGGCACAAAATGGGAAGCAGAGAGACCCCCAGCTTAGTTTTCACCTCACAACTACCCAGGAAGAGTTATTTATTATCGATATTATTGCATATTATTAATAATAACAGCATGTACATAGCATTTAAACTATGGCAGAGCACCTTACATATATTATCTCATTTGAGCTTCATGATACGACTGTGTGGTAGGTGCTATTATTATCCCCATTTAACAGATGAGGAAACTGAGGCCCAGAGGGTTAAGGCACTTGCTTGCCCAGGGTCCCTTATTCAGTTGGTGTCTGAGGCAAAATTCAAATTCAGATTTCCCTGATTCAATACTCTTTATCTACTCTCAGGGATCCAGATTCTACACTTTCACTTTTCTCTCTCAAAGCTCTTTCAACTTTTCCACTCCCAGTCTCAGATGACATTTGGGAAGATAGTCAAGGCAATCTGGGGGAGAAGGAGCAGGGCAGAGGAGAAAGTCCCTGCCCTGCCCTGAGACACACACACACACACACACACACACACACACACACACACA